TATTGTGATGAGAAGCTAGTCAGTGGATAAATAGTTTTGTTTTTATGCTTTTATTAGGGAAAAAGCATGTTTTGCAAAATACAGTTCTAATGAGAGCATTGTATAGTAATGTCTGGCACCTGTAGAGAGAGGCGATCTAGGGTGAGAAGAGGGGGTGGAGAGGGAGCTGGTGGTCAAAGGCAACAAAATCTCAGACAGGAGCAATACAACTTTTTTCTTTTTTTTTTCTTTAGTATGTTTATTTCTGACATCATTAAATTTTTCATGTTGAAAAAAGAGATTTATAAACACTGATGATTGATTTGCATTTTAAATGTTATTTCCAAAACCTTTGTTACACTGACATGAATCCATATTTGGACAGATAAAACTGTGACTACAATAAATCTTGTATCAGGGATTTAAAATATACCAAATATTATTTGTTCACTGCAGTGACCACCTGAAGATTTTTGAGAGATGCAGAAAAATCAGTTTGCCTGAAGAATCTAATGTTGGAAATGTTCTGAAAGCAAGTTTTCCTCAAGCTTATAGATCTTAGAAAAGAGATAATCCCAAACCAGTGTAATTTCTAGCAAGAACCTCATAAAGTCACCAAAGTAAAAAAGATCATCTCAAAGAGTTTTGTCTGCAGTGGAGATTGCTGCTCTGATCACTCCAAGAGATTAAAATTTGCTCAAGGGAACAGTTTCTCAAACAGAGGCTGTAATTTAAGGCATGTCATCCCTTTTTCATTCCCAAAGATCAAGGAGTTCACTCTGACCTTGGCAGAACAATACCAATTTGTAACTTGTAAGTGCATCTCAGCAATATTATATGCTATTTATAAAGAATATAGGTTCTAGCAAAATTTAAAGCATGAAAAGACAATAATAACATGTCCAAATTATCAATGTGGTGGCCTCCGGGGAGGAATTACAGGAATGGAGGAGATAGGACATCAAGAGTACATCACTTTATCTTAATATTTATTATTTTATAAGAGAAATGACAAAAGTTTAACATTGTGTATGCAAACGCTTCTTACATTATTTCCATTTTTTCTTTCTTTTTAACTTTCCCAACTAAGAAAAGAAAAAATTAATAAAAGATATTGCTCCCAAGGGTCATTTGACTTTCCTGCCACAAATCTTTCAAGCCAAGGAAAGAAACAGGCAGGTGCCTTGACTCACTTGTAATCATACACTCTGGGAGACTGAGGCAGAAGGAGAGTGAGACTGGAGGATGCTGAGCCAGGAGTTAGAGGTTTACAGTGGAGCTACGATGAGGCTACTTGAACTCTAGCTGGGGCAAGAGAGAGAGAGAGAGAGATTCTGTCTCAAAATAAATAAATAAATAAAAAAAGAAGAACAGAATATGTTCCAGAATGAAGCAGCCTCTCCTATGAGTCTGAAGCTCATGAAACCATAAGAACAACCGGAGGAGTATTGTGTGATGAGCAGCTAGTCAGTGGATAGAATATGTTGGTTTTTTTATGCTTATATTAGGGGAAAAAGCATGTTTGCAAAATACAGTTCTAATGAAGCATTGTATAGTAATGTCTGGCACTGGTAGAGAGAGGCGATCTAGGGTGGAAGAGGGGGGGGTTAGGGAGGCTGGTGGTCAAAGCAACAAATCTCAGACAGGAGCAATACAATTTTTTCTTTTTTTTTTTTAGTTTATTGCAGTGTGTGAATATGTTAATAAAAGCGATTCTACATTTTAAATGCTGAGAAAGCAATTAAAATGTTCTCACCACAAAAAAATTTAAGTCTTAAGGTGATGGATATGTTAATTACTTGATTTAGTTTAATATTCACATTATATTCATAAATTATAATATCACTTTGTACCCCATAAATTTATACAACTGTAAACTATCAATTTAAATTTAAAAATAATAAGATAAATAATAAATAATATAATAATAATGATAATGGAATTCTAGGAGATGATGGCAGATGAAAATCTATAATGATTGAACAAAAGCTTTTAAAGAGCCAAATATCCTCCACAGACATCAAAACATAAAGGCACACAATGCTGTTCTTATAATCTTGAAGTGATACAAAAGAGAAGGAAAGATCAGGAAGGTTGGTATATTAATCACATCTCCTATTCACTCCCTGACTTAGAGTCTAGCCAGAAAAGAAGTCACCACAGGCATTTCAAAGGAGGAATTCGAAGCTGGTGGAGGATAAACCAAGGAGAGAGAGAGCTGGGACTATAAAAAGAGGGCAGAGTGGAGGCAGCTGGTCAGAGAAAAAGACAAAGCCACTGACCCAGACTGAGAGAGAAATACCAGTATTTTCCCCTCCTCCTTGTTCCAGTCTGAGCAAAACTTACTGGAACTGAGGGCAAGACATCTGGGGACATTTCCTGCCACGCTGAGAAGGGAAGAGAAGGGAGGAAAATGGATTTGAGAGCAAACAGGCAAATCACCAGCACCACCCCCAACTCCTCAACACAGCAAGGGAAGAGGGAAAGTACAGTATGTCATTTGAGCAACTTGACAGTTGTCAAGTTGTCAACTTGTCATTTGAGCAATTTGAGCAATCTTGACAAAAGGTCATGGAGCAATGGCCGTGAGGTGCTAAGAGATGTCTAGAAAAATTGATCATGACCCCAAAATGTTACTTAGTAAATTTGTTCCAGTAAGAGATTCCCAAACATATGAGGTTTAGGGACTATTACTGATCTCAGAAGTCCTTGAAGAAAACAAGAGCCAACACAATGTCATCAAGAGACGAATGGAGAACACTGGCAAAAGCCCCACCATTGGTGAAACAGAAGCGATTTACACTCGCAGCTGCAGAGCTATGGGAAATGCGGTACGCAGGGTAGTGAAATGTGGCAATGTAGAAATAAGAATAAAATGAGAGGCAGGTAGAAGGGAAAAAAGGTTGAGGGGAGAGGGTAAGAGATGGAAGTTCTGGAAAACTAGGTGATACAACCGGAAGCCCTTTTCCACCTAACAGTTGAAGGTGGCAGAATAAACAGGGAAGTCTCTGGCATGTTTAGAATGATCTTGTGGTAACAGCTTTGTGCTACACAAATGCAACAAAATGCAGGAAAGAAACACAAAGTTATGTACGGGTGGGAGAAGTGGATAAAGAACTCTAGGGGTTCTTTCCTTCCTTTCAGCATTTTTCAAGAACACCTTTGAAGTAGATACTTTTTAGGGGAAAAAAATATTATAAATATATCCTTATATAATAAGCTTTTTTTCTTTAAGCTTCTTTCATATATTTGTATCATTTGGTTTGGGAAATGTGGTATGCAGTGTAGTAAAATGTAAAATTGAATTTCATACAATTCAGACCATATGAAAAATTGTTATCTTATCATCAGTGAGGCTAAAATCCCCAATCCTAATTTCCATCCTAAAGTGCCCACAGAGGTAAGTGAAATACAGAAACAATACATTTATCCAACATCTCATGAAAGGTAAATGGGGATGAGTAGATGAAGCTTCCAAAGAATTTAAAGCTATTAAAGATATATGACAACTTTGTGTTTATTTTTGAATCCTTTGAGTAAAATGCTTTCTAAGATTCATCTTATGCTTTCCTCTCTTTTATAGCGCAAAATCCAATTTAACCTTTTCTTCAAATTCAAAAATGTTCCATTGTTTCCCTGAGCAGTGAGTGTAGAGGTACTCTCTGGAGCTACATTAAATGTTGTGTGTTTGTTTGCTTAAGATCTTATCAGCCTTTCTCAAAAGCTACTTTGTTGTCTGGGTTGGGAGGTTGTATTAGTGGTTAGTGAGTTCATTTAGGGATGCAGTTTTGCGTATTGGTTCCTTTCTCAGTTGTGTTTTGAATAGTTGTGACCAGAGCTGGAGAGACGTGAGATGGGGTAAGATTAGGATAGGATCGTACATAGACAGGTTAGGTCACAGGAACCTGAAGGATCCCTGGAGTTTTCTACAGATACTGGCAAATAATTAGATTCTCTCTCTTTTGGGATTAAAGAAGAAGATATCCTTCAAAACTATTCTCCTTGACTTTTTTTTTTAAGAGATGGGGTCTTGGTATATTGCCCAGACTAGTCTCAAACTCCTGGCCCCAAGTGCTTCTTGGCTCTTGGCTCTTGGCTCTTGGCTCTCGGCTCTTTTAAGCCAAGAAGCCCTAAGCTGGTGGTGGCACCCTCTCTCTGCTCAGAGGTTTGGGTTCCTCCATCATTCTCACAGAGGAAGGAGAGTAAAAGAATTGAAAACTCAGGCACGTTTGCACTGTTTCCCCACAGAGTACATATATCAATATTCATGTATAGAGAAAAGAAAAAAGAACTTGGAAAAAGAGTTTCTCCTTTGTGGAAACACAACCTACACAAAACTTTTATTCAGTACCATGCCCCCTCAGGAGTTAAATTACGGAGTGCATCCGTTCTGTTCTTCCTTCCGGATCTCTTCCTTCCTTAGGAAAGGGGCTTAGACAGGAAAGGTTTCATTCTACCTCTGAGAGTCAAACAGGCAAGTCATTTAAGCTCCCTGGGTCTCACGTTCAAATTGTTTTCAAATGAGGACAAAAATAGTTGCCAGATACAAGGACAATGTGAGATCAAAAGAAGATAATGTATGTAATAACATGCTATCATCTGGAAGGGGGGCAGCCATCACAGCAGGACAACGGCCTTCTGCTTTCTTTCCTAGGCAGATGCGAGCACCAGTCTCAAAGGAGCTGGCTTCATTTTCCCAGTGGAAAAATTCAGAGCCAGGAACATTAAATTTACGCCATAAACGTTTCAAAGTAAAGGTTAAGCAAAGGTATGCACGTTAATTAAGTAATCACAGATTCACCAATTCACAGAAAGGGCACCGAGGAATAGAAGATAAATAAGAAACATGAGTTTTCCTCAAAGGGCTCACACTCTGTGTAGAGTGACAATTAGGGGTAAACAATTACCAGACAGAACTGTAAGTATTTTAATTAAGGAAAATGTAGAAAGTGCTGAGGCAGCATCTTTTCTCTCAGCAAGGCTTCCGGAAGGCTTCAGAGGGAAGGCCGGTGGGAACTCACCACTTGGAGGAGGGGGAGGGTATTCTAGTCAGGGCAGCAGCCCCAAGCTGGGAAGGAGTGTGGTGCAGGAGTCCATCCAAACAGTGCATCTGCAGAAAGAACAGACAATATGACTAAAATGGAGAGATGAGAGAAGGCTGGTGAGGCATTTGGGGAACCTTCACAGGTTTTTGAATACAGGGTGCTGTGATCAGAATTGTTTAAGAAGTTAATTCTAGGCACAGTACAGATTATGCATTAGAGTGAGAAAATGAAGGAGGCAGGAGAATTTATTAATAAAGAAACTATTCCAGCTGGGTGCGCTGGCTCACGCCTGTAATCCTAGCACTCTGGGAGGCCGAGGCGGGCGGATTGCTCGAGGTCAGGAGTTCAAAACCAGCCTGAGCAAGAGCGAGACCCCATCTCTGCTATAAATAGAAAGAAATTAATTGGCCAACTAATAGAAAAAATTAGCTGGGCATGGTGGTGCATGCCTGTAGTCCCAGCTACTCGGGAGGCTGAGGCAGTAGGATTGCTTGAGCCCAGGAGTTTGAGGTTGCTGTGAGCTAGGCTGATGCCACAGCACTCACTCTAGCCTGGGCAACAAAGTGAGATTCTGTCTCAAAAAAAAAAAGTACCTCCACACAGTGGATATTCAACCATAAAAGGAATGACATACTGATGTATGCAACAACATGGATGAGCCTGAAAAACATTGTGCTAAGTGAAAGAAACTAGCCACAGAAGGCCACATGGTATATGATTCCATTTGTACAGAATATCTAGAATAGGCAAGTCTATAGGGACAGAAAGTAGATTAGTGGTTGCCAAGGGCTGGGGGATGAGAAGAATAGGGAATGACCAATAATGGGCATGAGGTTTCTTTTTTGGGGTGATGAAAATGTTCTGGAATTAGACATTGGTAATGGTGGCAAAACTCTGTAAATACATGAAAAACCACTAAATTGTACAATTTAAAATGACAATCTATTGTCATTGTCTGATAGAGAAATGAAGAAGAGCTGGACAAATTTAGCATCAAAGAAAATTTTAAAAACCGGGATGGCTTCTAAAATATTTAGAAGATTTTTTTGACAAGTACATGCAGTTGGAAGATAGGGAGGTGACATAAAAATAGTGAGAACTTTCTTCGAGCCTTCCCACCAGAGGCAATCGCTGGATGGGGCTAAGATAGAAAACAGGCAACGAGGAAATATTTTTGCAGATGGAGAGCTGGGGTTCAGACCGGCAGGACAGGCAACAGTAGTGTCATACAACATTATGTGAAGTCACGGCGCACAAAGAGATGTATATCATCAACAATCCAAAACAAACAACCTTTTGTGGACCTTGTAATGCCATATTTGGCAAAAATATGTGTTTTTAATTATTACCCTCTTTTAGCTGTGTTTCAAAAGGAATTTGTAACCATTTATAAAAATGTATAATATACAAATGCTTTAGGTTAAAAATAGAGAATGTGATTAAGACAAAAGGATATTAATAATAAGAATGATCAAATGAAGCCAGAGGAAAAAGTAGTACATCAAAAGATCTCTTGGAGCCGGCAGCAGTGGCTCACGAGTGTAGTCCTAGCAAAAGATCTCTGGGGCTTTCTGAAAGTGAGTGCAAATTGAGCTCCGAGGGACTTTTTTTTTTTTAACTGCAAGAACACAAAGTACAATTATTTGAGAAGCCTAATCGGTTAGTTACAAGAGTCACTGGTTAATGAGGGGTTTGGATGCGTTGGCTTCCTGTTAATTGAGGTTTTGCTATAGAAGGTTTTCCTGTTTTGCAGATGAAGCCACCACTGCTGGCTGTTACTGGCCAGGTGTGTGTGTTCCACAACGACCTGTGCCTTCCCTCTGGGTCCGGAGGAGCCCTGCTTACCGGACTGTGAGTTGCAGGATCTTGCCTGGGTGCACTCTCCTAAGTCAAGAGCCAGGCTTTGGGGGCTGCTATTGTTAGTTTCCAGCTCAGCATTCAGCCACCCCCGTATTTGATGCTTGACTTCTTTGTGTCTTCTTAGCAAAACTGGGCTTCTTAAGTATGTCAGTGAATTAATTAATAGAAGTGCTTTGACTACCAAAGTATGAACATAAATTCTGATCACACCGAAAGAGATGCCTACTGTTCCATCCTCTCCCATCCCATCCCACCCCAGTGCCTGAAAATACAGGAGCAGCTAACATAATCGCTGCAGTAGAAAACAACAAAGCCAACTGGCAACTATAAATACATTTAAAATACATTAGATGGTAAAACTAAACATGGAAAAAGTCACAGATAACACCTGGACACTCATCTTAATGCTCAAGTACAAATAACAGCTTTGATGTCTCATAGTCAGCTTATAGAACTAAGGATTGTCACCAAAGTGGGTTTCTTTCTCGCTTATCTCTAGCAGGGCCAAGGAACTTTTTTCTTCTTAATCTAATAACACCATCATCCAAACCTAGGCATTGCCTTTGGGCTGGGATATTTCACTCGTAATGGGCAGCCTCAGCAACTAGAAAAGAGATGGGGGGAAGGAAGGACAGAAGACAAATAGGATGGAATGAAGAAAAAAGTTCTTCTAACTGGAGGTGGTGGCAAAGAGAGCAGACCCCCTGCCACATCAAGCCCTTTTTCACTTTCTAGAAAAGTCAAGGTGAGATCACCTTCTGGCTGGCCCTTCTTCAACTCATTGTTTTATGTTTTAGTATTTACAGGAGTTTTCTTTTTAAAGCCATTGGATATAAAGCAGTTTACAAGAAAACACAGCAATTGTGCATGAAAGTGCAGGGGTCTTCTGGCGTTGGGAGATGCTGGCTCTCAACCTGCATTTAACCAGCTCAACGAGCAGGGAGCAGGTCTGAGGCCACCCTGGGCCTCGCTCTCCAGATTTGCAGAAAAAGATGTTGAACCAGACGGCTTCTAGTCACCCTTCCAACATGAATCTCGTCTGATAATCTGATGTGGTACGGTGACTGGCATTTGGCAATGTCCAGCTTGAATCATGGCTTTGCTATTTATTTTGTCACTTACACTAAGCCTTGGTTTCCTCATTTAGAAGATGAGAATAATGAATAGTATACCCTCTACTTTATAGAATAGTTACAAATATTAAGTAAAGATGTATATAAAATGTCTACTTGGACCTTGGTATATACTAAGCCTTTTTAAAAAAGTTTCCTACTGTTTTTTTTTTTTGGTTATTTTTGAGACAGGGTCTTGCTTTGTTGCCCAGGCTAGAGTGAGTGTCGTGGCGTCAGCCTAGCTCACAGCAACCTCAAACCCCTGAGCTCAAGTAATCCTCCTGCCTCAGCCTCCCAAGTGGCTGGAACTACAGGCATGCGCCACCATGCCCGGCTAATTTTTTCTCTATATATTAGTTGTCCAATTAATTTCTTTCTATTTATAGTAGAGACAGGGTCTCGCTCTTGCTCAGGCTGGTTTTGAACTCCTGACCTCGAGCAATCTGCCCACCTCGGCCTCCCAGAGTGTTAGGATTACGGGCATGAGCCACCACGCCTGGCCCCTACTGTTATTGGTATTAGTAATATACTGCAGAAGAAATGAAACAGGCTCTAATATAGAAAGCACAAGTAACTTTAAATTTAATGAGAATTAAAGTGAATTTTTAATTAGCATTCTTATCATTGCAAAAATAATCCTGTTCATTGTAAGAATTCTAGAAAATATTTTTCAAGTATTAGTTTCTTTTGAGAAAAGATATCTGAAAAATGAGGTAGTATCCCTTCTAAAACATGATGATTTTTGAGATAAAATGACCAAATGACTTTAAATTTTAACATTGTCAATTCTAAGTCATTGTCATTTTCAATTTGTCAATTTCAAACTTCAAAAAGTCATCCATTTAGTAGCAGAATGCAAAACCATACCAAGTACAATGACTGAAATTCATGTTCTCTCTTCGTGTGCCTCTGCCATTTTAAAGACTATTTCCTCCCGAGGAGGGAGACTATGGAAAGCATTACCCAAAATGTTTCTTCTCAACCCCCTGCTGGTGCTGGCCCTATTTCCGGTCAGCAAGCAGCAGCTGCTGTTGAGGGACAGTTGCCCTTTTCCTCTGCACCTGCCCGACTCAGCCTTGCAGAGATAATTTACAGCAAGCATGACCTCAAAGCTAGGAGCCTGGCAGCCTTCCAGGGTCTTGATATCTTGATAGTGACCAAGATCCTGCCTTACCACAGACGTGCAATATGGTTTACAGATGATGTCAGTGAAACAGCTCAGAAAGTCTTTATGAGAAACAGTCTCATGTCCAGCACGCTGGGAAATACTGACGAGGAAGACAAACAACATCGCTACGTTTTTGCAGTCTTTAGCACCCCTGTAACCTACACCGTGACAGTTGCAGGAAGTTTTTATGATACCAGAAGCCTGTTAGAAATAGTATTCACTCATAAAAGGCAATGAAATTTTGATCTATGCTACAACATGGATGAACCTTGAAAACATTATGCTAAGCGAAATAACCCAGGACAAAAGGACAAATACTGCATGGTTCCATTTATATGATGTACACGTAGGATAAGCAAATTTATAGAAACGGAGAGTAGAGATGATCAGAGGTTTAGGGGACAAGGAGTTATTGTCTAATGAGTACAGAGTTTATGTTAGTGATGATGGAAAAGCTCTGAATACAGATAGTGGTGATGGTTACACAACATTATGAATATATATAATACCACTGAATTGTACACCTATAAATGCTTACAATAACAAATATTGATCCAGCAATCCCATTTCTGGATATTTACCCGAAAGATTTGAAAGTGGTTGGTCAAGGAGATGTCTGCACTCTCGTGTTCACTGCACCACTATTCATGATACTAAGGTAATGGAATCAACCTACATGTCCATCAACAGATGAATGGATTAAAAAATGTGATCGATATACACAATGGAATATTATTCAGCTTTAAAAAAGAAGGAAATTCTGTCACAGGCAGCAACATGGATGGAATTACAGAACATTATGCTAAGTGAAATAAGCCAGGCACAGAAAGACAAATACCATATGTTCTCATTTACACGTGGAATCTAAAACAACTGAACTCATAGAAGCATGGAGGAGAATGGTGGTTATAGAGGGTGTCAGGTG